AGGAAAATTCATAAACCTCGTTCATGCCTTTCTTGCTCCTAAGTAGAGTTCAAGGGATAATTAGCACGAATCGTAAGTTTACCCATGTCCAAATTGGTCTACATAAACAAGAAATTAGTTCGGGAGCGAGGGTACTAAAATAATGTTCCTTTAAGGGAGGAATCTCTATTCTATCTCTAGTTACGGCCTCTATCTTCCTTTTTCACAATTTCATTATCAAGCAACATATACAACGTGATACCTAAAAATAAGTTATTTGATTTTATTTACATACATTGATCACGTAGGAATTATATTGCAAAGTCATTAGTCTTTATTTAATTCAAGATCGTGAGAGGAACAAAATAAACAAGATTCGCCTTAGCTTAAGTGATCACTCAACAATTAATTATTCAATTCTATTCTTATTTAACACAAGATACTATGTGAAATTGATTAATTAGAAATCTGTTTGAAGTGATCAAACAACACTAATTAATTAATTAAAGTCCTTTTAAACAATAAAAATAAAGGTGATTGATATAAGTGCTCGGGAATTTACCACTTCTCTTTGCTAGATCTTAGTTTAGAAAACTTATGGACTCTTTCTTGTTCGAGAACCTCCACCATAGTAACAAAGGTTAAGAGGGGTGAGTGTTTAAGACAAGAGGGTTTGGTTACACACAAGTTCACAAGTTTTCTGTCAGCAATTAGGGTTAAATTATGTGTCTTTGAGCCTCGTATTAAGCCCCTATTTATAATGAAGGAATACGATTAGGGTTTTGAGCATTCAACCGCAGCAGGTGTCGCGCTCATCTAAATGGGTTGCGTGTGACTGACCACCGCAAGTTATTTAGTTGCACTGTTATAGGCAGCGTAACAAACTGTCTTGCGCGTAGTATTATGGTAATATTCGACTTCATATTTTTATAAAATTTTGAATCTTCCGCAGGCGCATCACTTGATGTTGCGCTGGGTGTTGCGCGCAACCTAAAGAGTTGCGCGCGCCAGACCAGCGCGACTCTTTGAGATGCGCGCGGATTTATCTGCGGCAGCATCAATTTTAACCTAGGCGCCTTTAAATCTTTCATTATTAGGGTCTAAGATCGGGCTTAAGCCTAATTATAATTAGGCTTAGTTGATTGGACCTTAATTCTTTTGCTTTTGGGTTAGACTATCTTATTTTTATGTTCTTGTAATTCAATTAGTAATCCATAAGTGTTATTCACATTAATCCAACACGAAGATGGTTTTATTTATCGTCATTGCACTTCGTGTCGGGACACGAGGCCTAATTATGATCGGGGTTAGTTGATTGGACCTTAATGCTTTTGCTTTGGGGTTAGGCTAGCTTATTTTTATGTTCTTGTAATTCAATAAGTAATCCATAAGTGTTCTTCACGTTAATCTAACACAAATATGGTTTTATTTATCGTCATTGCACTTCCTGTCTGGACACAAGGCCAAAAGTAGATGTCTACACATGGTTAAGATTTTGGATACGTTAGCAAGGCACCCATCCTTGAAGGTGTATGCCAACGGGCGGCTCTGCAAGTTCGTGATTAAATCAAACTCGACTCCGTGGGTTGGGTGAATTTAATAACTCGGATGAACCCTTATTCCATGAGCGTTTTTGGGTTGATAGAGCTTAAATTCCCCGGGGCTAAACCGTATGTAGAACATACACGTTTTTTTAGAAAAATCAAAGGAAGCTAATAACAAGAAAAAGAACAGAACCAATGCAAGAATTTTACAAGCACCTTGTCACGGTGGAAAATGTCGTGACACGGTGGAAAATACCACGACACGGTACAGTATACCGCGTTACGGTGTTTTGTACCGTGTCATGACGCCTTTTCTGTTACACGGTGCTTGTAAAATTCAAGTAGTGTCTCGTTTTCTTCGATCGTGATCTGGTTATCCAATTTTTCATATGGGTTAACCTAAAATACGACGTTAAAACGTCTATGTATATGCAAAAAATGTCAATTTAATCACAGTAATACGATTCAATAATCTTTCGAGTCTCGTCCACTCATCTTAATTAAATACTGATCACTAAAATCGATAAATAACCAAGAATCCTCCCCAATGGAGTCGCCAAATAGTAGGCGTTGTTTGAAGGGCGCCTACGTAAGCATGTGTAAATATTCTTGGCACTCATAGGAAGTGGGAATTGACATAATACAATTAAAGACAAGGAAAGTAGGGAGAAACCAACATGTTTTTAAGGAACTTGTAAACTGTCCCCAGATCATTTAAGGCAACCACGAATAAGGGAAAACGATAGGCAACAACAATTTACCCATGAAGGTTACACCCCATTCATAATTCATGAGATTACTAACTCCATATGGTTCGGAACCACAAAAGGAGGATCGAGGATGATGGTATGAAGTGAGTCATGGAGTCACATTTTCCCGTATTGGCTTCTACTCGATTCTTATAGTGAAAAGTGATTCTTGCGATCTCAAAGACATACAAAAAAAAGATTCAATTTGCTCCAAACTATTACTAGGTTAAATTGGTTGAATATTAACGCTACATATAATTCTAAAATATTTGTGATCACTTAATTAAATAACAAGATTAAAAGGAACTTAAACCGGTTGTCCAAGTTATCTTATTAGTCGTGATTTTCAATTACATATTCCCTTTAACATGCAATATGGTGATCATAAAAATATAATAGAACAAACATTAATATTTGAAGCAATATAACAATAATATCGTTAGTCAAATCAAATAATAATAATAAACCTAATCATGATACTAGCAATATTAAAATAAAATAAGTAATTAAATTAATTAATTACTCACATTTCGCACACTACATCATGAATAATTTGTTAATAACTTCAATAAGAATATAAATCAAATTGAAACAATTAAATTAAATAAAAATTAGAGTTGATTTGGTCTAAACCCTCAATAAATTATACCTTTCACGCCATGGTTTATGTATAGGATTTTGGGTAAAGTATGGACTCCTTGGAGTGCTTAGGGAAAGTAGTATGGAAAAATAGGGTGGCTAGGGTTTAGGCTAAAGAGGGAGAAGAGAATAATTTTGGTGTAAAGAGAGAGAAAATGATTTTTGGTGCCCTCGAACTGCAGAAATAAGGGGGGAATTTATAGAGTAAATGAACAGGGAATTCCACGAAGCCCTAGAAGATATAAGAGCCATGGAAAAAACCTAACTGGGCACCGTGTCACAGTGTCTGTACCATGACACGGTGTTGTACATCGTAGCACGGTATAGCACACCGTGTCGCGGTGTATAATTCTGCCAAAAATGCGTCCAAATTAATTTTAGCGCATGAGAAAAAAAGTGGAAAAGACATGGGAAAGCGCCTGACACGGTGAAACTATGACACATCAGCTTGTACTTTGACACGGTTTGAGCTGTTGCGCATTAATTCCATTTTTTAAAACTATGATAAATTTTGATCCGTAACTCGGAATAAGGCATATAATATATCGTTGGAAATCTTATCAAGTATTCTTTCCAAACCAATTAGAATTAGATAAAAATAATTTTTATATTTTAGGATATGACCGTTTTAGTGAAAGGATGTTGAGTTAGGGCCGAGTTTAGTATTTTGCTTATATCTTCTTCGTTTAAATCGGAATTGGGATTATGATATGTCGTTGGAAATCTTATTGAAATTCCTATACAACCAATTAATATTTGGATCAAAATTATATAGCCACAAGATCAGATTAGCTCGATTTTGTGATGTAGACACGAAAAGAGAAAAATAAGAAATGGTTTGGGAAAATGGGCTAAGAATTGGGTTGGTTTATGAAATGTGTTGAATTGATGTAGACACCAGATTGTATCTCCCTAGAAACCAAACCTAGTGATGAGTATCTTTCACGTCATTGAATGTCGAGCAAGGTGAAATGTTGAAGAGTCTCGTGAATTTCCCCTTTTCTATAATGTTTCACTACTACAAAACTTGAAAAAAAGACCCCCTCTATTAAAGACCTGTTATTTAATTAACGGGTCTATTTGATGTAAAAGACCCAATTTTAATTATAACGGGTCTCTTATGTATATTAGGAAAAAAAATTAAAAAATAAGAGACTCGTTACCAAACCTAACATGTCTCTTCATTATAGTAGGTCCCACATTTCTGATAAGAGAAGAAAATGTGAGATCTGTTCTATATTTGACGGGTCTCTTACATTTGCTTCTCTGACCCTTTGTATGTGTTTAGTACTCCATTTTTTTTTTACTTTAATTATCATTTAATCCCTTTAAAATCATTCACCTCTCTCTATCTCTTCAAAACCTCAGCCAAACCCTAACCCCAAGTCCTCTTCTTGTTATGAAGCCGCCGTCATTTCTCTACAATGGCTAATTAATAGAGGTTTTGCTGTGATTGTTGTTGTATTTTCTGGGAGTTATTCCCTTTTACAGCTTGTAGTTGTTGGTGTTCTTCCATTCTCCCCTTTGTCAAGTGGCTAACTATGTTGTTTATTAGAGTGTTGGTTATAACATATTGTTTTCTTAAAGAAGATTATTAATTTTCTTTTTTTTTTTCTTTTTTCGGGTTTGCATGATTCCAATTTGTCCCACTATATTCTTAAACAAAGAAGATAATGGAGTATTTAAGTCATAGATTATTGCTATAACTATAATTGTAAATATCAGCTAATTCTAATGTTCTTTTTTTTTGTTGCAATTTTATGTAGAATGAGGTCTTTTTTTTGTATCACATTAATTTAAAATTAATCCATTGCTATTTTCTATGGTCTTAAAGTGTAACTTACAATTTATGAATTATCCGACTATTTTAATATAGCATGAAAACAAAATTTTCAAAATTCAAACAAAAACCTCCCAAACCACATCAAATAAAAAGAAAATTAATTTTTTTAAAAAAAAAATTGGAGAACAAAGAGACCCGTTATTTGACATGATAGGTCTGGTAAATACCCACTAAACAGACCCTATATCTCAAATAACAGGTCTCTTTTCCATCTAAATTATTAATTTAATCACTTACATAACAGACCTGTTATCACTTGTAACAGGTCCTTTGTTCTCACAAACAGAGCCCCCTAATGAACGGGTATCTTGATTTAACAGACCCTGAAATAGAGACCCGTTGTGAGGCGGTCTCTCATGCATATTTCAACGGGTCTCTTTGGCAATTTTTTTAGTATGTTTTAAGCCAAAATCATTCATTTCGTGCCTTTAAGCCCAAAATAACTCATTTCGTGTCCCTTAAAATCATTCATTTCGTGTACTTCCTATAAAAACGTCCAAACCAGTTTATTTTTTTCCATAATATGGGTTCAATGATTGTATAGTTGGATGAGGTTTGAAAAGAGCTTTTCAACAATATATTATAAGCCCAATCCTGAGTTATAACGAGGAAGTTATGGTCAAAATACTAAATTGGGTCTAAAACAAGTTTTATGTGCGATCCAATAATCATGTGGAGGGTCCATTAATCTTAATTATATTCCTAAACCAATTAGGATTAATTATAAGCTTCTATAAGTTTCTAAAATATCTTAATTATCCTTTTTTAAAAAATAAGATAAAGAATTGAAATTGAATAAAACTTCTCTTTTTGAAAGTCCTAATTTTATTCAAATCGAATGACGTTCATAGACAGACAGATATTATTTTAGTGCCTCATAATTTTTATCCAATTCTTAGATGGTTGGATAGCTCTTGAAATTATCTTTCCAATGATATATTATAATATTAATTCCGATCTATAGACATAAAAGAAATACGAAACTCTATCCAAAACTGACACCCTTCTACTATTTCGGCCATATTTTTTTTGATATATAAAATATTTTAATCTGATTCCAATTGGTTTAAAATTAGACTTCAAAGCTTTCCAACGACATATTATTTGTCTTATTCCAATTTCTGGAACAAAAGATATGATAAAAACAAAAATCGCAAAAATTGTTGTCAATCGAAAGAGTCTTATTCCGATTCGAATTCAGATTCTTTTCTATTCCTTCGACCCTCTTTTTTCCCTATAAATAGAGGTCAAAACAAAAACTGTTTTCAATCGAAAGAGCCATATTCCAATTCGAATTCGGATTATTTTCTATTCCTTTGACCCTCTTTTTTTCCCTATAAATAGAGGTCATATCACCCCCTTTTTCAATCATCAACAAACTTTATCACCCACAATCACCATCTCTTCCAATAGCCGGTTCCTACAAGCACCTGTATGGTGCAACGTACTGTCTTTTTGTAGGAAAGAACATGATATATAAAAGTAATGAACATATAGCTATAGTGAAAAGAATACTATTAAAATGTAATGATCATATACCTAGAGTGAAAATAAAATATTATTAATATGTAATGAACATATAACTAGAGTGAAAAGAACATATTTGTACCAAAAAAAATGAAAAGAACATATGTTTATGTTCTTTGATTGTCAGTGTAATGTAATTTTATTTGCGACATAATGTTCATTGCTTATTGTGAATTGTTTATTAAATTTTGTTTTCAAATTATGGTGGTTATATATAGATAATGTTTATTACATAATATTATCATGTTCTTTATTAATATTACAGATGTTCATTAGATATGAAAAAAGAAATATTTATAATTGGATGTTCATTACAAAACGACTATATGTTCTTTACAAAATAGTTATATGTTATTTTTGCGTTTTTTGGCTGTACCAAGCAAGGTACAGCCGCCTGTACCTTAATATTTTCACATCTCTTCTCCCTCTCTAAGCTAAAGCTTATTCCTTCTTTCTCTCTCTTAATTTTCTAAGCCAGTATAAACACATTAAACACATCCTTTTAATTTTTCTTGATTTGAACACCATACGTCCATCACGAGACTTAGACACACCTAGCCAAGCTCGAAGTTGCCTTCGCCCTAGACATGAAAGGTTGATAATTTATGAGGGTTTGATCCCAAATCCTTTTTCAATTATTTATTATTATTATTGTTTAATTTAATATTTTCATTGAAGTTACTAACATATTGTTTTGATAGAAAGAGATACGAGGCATCAAAGTAAGTAATTAGATTACTTCTTAATTATTCTTTTGATATAAAAACCATGCTTAGATTGTTTTATTGGTTTCTAGTCTCATAATTAGGTTGTTTCCTATTTTCTAATATCATGTGTGTTTCTAGTATCATGTTAGGGTTAAAATTTTGATTTTTATGGTTTAGTGACATGTTAGGATTTGTTATTAATCTTGTTAGTAACATGCTTAGGGTCTTACTAAAATTATTATGCTTGGAGAATATTATTATGATAATGATGATTTGTTGTGTCAATATTGTTATGTTGCTTGATACTATTATTGTTATTGCTTGATCATCCCCTCTCTTGCAGGTTTAAAGGGAATTTATACTTGAATTCACGCTTAATAAGATAATTAATAATTTGGTTTAGGCTAATATAATTTTAATTCAAGTGATCATCAATAATAGATTTATTTGTGTATTAATAATAAACAAACATAGATTAAACAGGTTTAGGGTTAATATATGGTTTGTATGTTAATCGAAAAGCGCACATGAATATGAGAAGAATAAAGTAGAGGCCTATTTAGGACAGATTGAATCTCTTTTAGGTTGGATTTATACCTTCACCCCTGAGTATCCATTCATGGTTTCAGACCACTATGGAGTTAGCGATCTCTTCACTAGTAGAATAAACGTAATGGGAAGCGGTTCAAACCCCCCAATGGCAAGCGGTTTTGAACCGCTCGCGCTTGGGGGGCTTGCCATTGTCAATTTAAATGGCAAGCGGTTCAAACCGCTTGCCATTTGAAGAAAAAGGGCAGCGGTTTTGGCGCCAAACCGCTGCCCATTAGGGCTATAAAAAAAATTTTGTTTTTTCCAACTGAAATTGATACAGAAACAAAACAAATATAAAAACAACAATATTTTTATTAATTAATTGATGTAAGTATTACATTTTCATAAAAAAATATACATAAATATATTTAAAAAAATTAATACAACTAATTAAATTATTACAACAAGTTATCTAAAAAAAAGAAAGCTTGTTCCACCACCAGCACCACCACCGTCCACAAGCAACACCACCACTATCCACGCGTACCACCACCACCATCCACTCGCACCACGCACCAGCACCAGACCACGCACTAGCACGACCACCATCCCAGCCTACTTCGCCCATCACGACCCCCACCAACACCAAATCGGCGGCCTAAAAAAAAACCAATTCAACCACCAAATCACCATAAAATTAAAAAAAAAGACTTTAAAAAAACAAAAAAAAAGGAACATACCATGAATTCCACCAAAATCTTGAAAATTGGCTTGAAATTTGGGTTTTAATGATCAAATTCGACCATGAAAACTCTAGATCTAGAGTTTTTATGGTCGAATTTGACCTAAAAAACTCGAAAACCCACACGCATCACCACCGGACTTCAAGGGTCGTCGTGGTCCGTCGTGCACCACCACCAGACGAATTCAAAGAGAAAGAACAGAGGGAGGGGAGGAGAGTGAGCGTGAGAAAAATTGAGGTAAGGGAGATTGAGAGGTAAAGCCGTGAGAGTAAGGAGAGGAGGGGAGGAGAGAGAGAGTGTCGAGAGTAAGGGGAGGAGAGAGAGAGTTCCGTGAGAGGTAAGTGGAGGAGAGAAAGCGTGAAACTTAAGGGGTAAGGGGAGGAGAGAGAATATATAGCTGGGCTTTTTTTTTAGGGTTTCTCTAACAAATGGCAAGCGGTTCACGGTTTAAACCGCTTGTCATTTACATTTTGGCAAGCGGTTCACCCCAAACCGCTTGCCATTTGTTTATTTCAAGTTTTTATTTTAAAATCAGGTAAATGGCAAGCGGATTTATCAAACCGCTTGCCATTTGGGGCTTCCAATTACGTTTATTCTACTAGTGCTTGGATCGTGAAGGGGTGTAACCTTCACCCTGTGAACGGTTTACAAGTTACTTAAAACTTGTTGGCGACTTTTTTGCTCTAGATATCTTCGCTTTGGACACCACCATACTTAAGTGTTTGATCACTTAGGGGCTCAAGTGTGGGATGCTTTAAATATTCCCTACAATTGAACATGGATTTTAAGCACTCTAAGATTAAATACTCAACCTGACCAATAATGGTGGTGAAAGGTTGCTCATCATCGGGTTTGGTTTTGGGGAGACATTTTTAGGTGTCTGCACAACCAAATTAAGAAGTCCCAATTAAGTATTATAGAGTCCTAATAAAGGATATTAAAAAGTTATTACAATCAAATTTAGCAATCTCAATTAAATATTATATAGTATCAAAATCTCTCAATAAAGAATTTTTAAAGGTTATTACAATCAAGTTAGGCAATCTCATTAAGTATTATGTAGTGTTAATCAAGAATATATGAAGGTTACAATCAAATTAGCTAGGCAGTCCTAATTAAATATTATAGAGTCCAATTTAATATAGTATATATGCGATTATTATTACAATCAAATTAGGCAGTCCCAATTACAATAAGTGTTATGTAGTCTCAATCAAATATTTGAAGGAACCTAAACCGGTCGTCCAAATTATCTTATAAAGCGTTATTTTCAATTGTATATTCCCTTTTACATGCAATATGGTGATCATAATAAATAATAAAATCAACATTAATATTGGAAGCAATTTAATAATAAATCCAACAATTAATATATGACAAACATAATAAAAATCATAGAAATATAATAGAAATAAAAGGAACATGATTCCTTACTTAGATTGTGTTTGCTTGCAACTATAAAACAATAATCGCGTTAGAAACTTCAAGGAAAATAATAAACAATAATGAAAATTAAATTAAAATAAACTAGAGTTGATTTGGGGCCAAACTATAAACAATTCTACCTTTCATGCCTTGGTATAAGTGTGGAACTACGGGTAAATTACGGACTCCGAGTAATGCTTGAGGGAGGTATTGTGAGAGAAGAGGGTAGGCTAGTGTTTAGGCTAGAACAAACGAGAGAAAGAGAATGGTTTTTGGTGCCCCAAAAATGAGGGAATCAGCCTCGAATTTAAAGAGGAAATCAACAATGAAAAGCGCTGCGGAAAAAACACTAGGAAAATGCCGCGTCACGGCATGTGTACCGTGACACAGTGCAGGATATCGTGAAACGGCATCAAATGTCGTTGCGCG